GACGGTTCCTCGAAGGACAAACTATTAAATTAATGTTTTAGAAGGCCGCATAGCAGCATCCTGGAATAGAGAAATATCCTGATTCGTCGGTCTGATACACGGTACTCGACTCGCCAACTTCTCGACTCGCCGGACACAGCAGGAAAAAGTGCGGTTCTGCAGTCGTTGCCGCAGAATGCTTTCCTGAGGTAGTAAGTGAGTCGTATCAGCATGCCAGTGTTTGCCAGCGTCAGGTGCTTTGAAGCCACCCTTTCTTCGCAGCTGGGTGCTCAGAGCGGCTCCGATCATGTGTTGCTGGTTGGGTCGTGGTCTCTTATGAAAGATTTATCACGGTTTGGAGTTAGCTGTTTTGCCGCGCCGTTACTGCACAGATAATTCATATTTCTCATATGCCATGCGGCTAGGAAAATGTGGTGTCCATGTCTTCTATGTAAATGTTAAGTCGGATGGCAAAGACTCAGAGGTGGATTTGCGATAATGGAGTTTGCAGTAGTCTACAGGGGGCTTCAGAATCGTTATTCTTCCCTCTCAGGAAAGGTCTGTCTTCATATTTAATTTACGAGCTTTTTGATATTCAAACCATGGACAGTCAAAAAGTGGTTTGGATTGGGTGTCTCAGTCTTTGTGGAGGTTTCACATCAGGCAATAATAATATTATATTAATACTCAGAATTATAAAATATTAAAGAGGAGAAGCCCTCAAGCTTCCTCGCATCAGGTCTTCCATGCGCAATCCTTCGTTGCAAGCTCAGGTCTGTTCATGCTTTTTTTGTTTGGGTTTAAAGGATGGTTCTCTTCAGGGCACAGGGTAAGTACAGTAAGTTCTTGCACTTGTGCAGTGGTATAATGGTACTGGACTCGAGAATGCACATTCCCTGTTTGTTCTCCTGGTACTTATACTTTTCTTTAGCGGTTGCCTTTGGAACCATCTTGTCTTGAGATGCTACTTACAGGTTTCTTCGCTTGTTACTTACATCTTCTGAGATTGGGGACTTCATTTGGGACGTTGTGTTCATCTGGTTTCCCATGCAACACTAAGCAACAGCTGTTGGCACTCGCAGGACATACACAGGACAACACATACACACACCCACACACACACAGAGTCTGTGTTTCAGCTGTCGGGTTTACACAGGGTGTGGGGTTCCTTTGGGACAAGGGTGGTTAGCAGCTGACTGAATGCAGTTTAGAATCATAGTTATACATGTCAGTTTGAAGACTTAGACACAAGGCCTGGGTCGTCAGTACACATTGCAACGGTCGTTCGGAGTTCGATGCAGCTTGCCTCTTGTAAAGAATGCTGGGTTTTGTAACCAGACTGTTCAAGGTCGGTTCCTAGGACTGTCCAAGCTCCTTTTCTGTGCACTTTGCATTCGAAGTTACTATGATTTAAGCTAGGAAGTTCAAAAGCGGCACCGCAGGACCACCCCGAAGGACTAGGGACAAATCATGAGTCCATGGTTCCCATGTAGTACTAACGTCGGCCTCACAAAGGTGACTCCGCTGGACTTCGAGTGGGCACACGTAGATCACCGTGGGCAGCCTAGCACTTGCCAGTGTGGAGCAGCAGCACAAGTCAGGCAGACTTTCATCTGAAGCATCATGGTCTGTCGTGGTTGGTGATGCTTTAGGTTTTTTAAAGAAGCCTAGACACAGAATCATTGTTATCATGCCGCTGCCAGAAAGCCCAAGCCACCTGCCACTGTCATCATCATTCCTCTCCCTTTCCTCGTTCTTTCTCGTCGGACATGTCGTCCTCCGGTTCCGCTGACCGAGCAGGACTTCCCCATGGACTCCCGTTTTTTCTTCGCCGTTCCACCGACCCGCAGGACGAGGTCATATTCGATTTTCGTGCGATGGACTATTACCTCGCGTCGGTCTGTGGGATGGAAGACCCAAGTACCATCCTGCAGCGTAATCTCGATTATTGCGAGCAGCTGCCGTCGAACTGTTTGGACTGCCTTCCGCCGGACATTGACTCGCAGGAGGATTTGCAGTGCTTCCTCGCCGATCTGAGCCTTGCGCAGGCATATTATTTCCGCACTGGACAACCCGACAGGATGCCCGAATGGCGCACCGAATGGCTCTCGACTGTCTTTGTACCCGAACACTCGCCGTACGACACGCAGCAGAAATGGGCGGACAGGCTCGTTACACCCATGTTGGTTGTAGCGTGGTTTCTATGAAGGTGCATGCTTTTAAAGCCATATAATATTATAATACATTGATTATTTTCCACAGAGCACATCCCGTAGGCTTTGGTCTTGGCTTGCTGCAACCGATGGACTGCTGTACAAGCGGCCCCCTGCCTTCGCGACACGGACTCCTCGGACGGTGAGTGAGAGAGACTTCTAGATTTTAATAGTTTGTGTTTCTGATAATTGAATTGTTCCCTAGCAGGAAGGACGACGGCTGGCAGATACTCGTCGAACACATGCAGGGCGATAAAATGTTGGAGTGTGGCACTCAGCTATGACATCAGCGCACTCAGTCATTCAAGCATTCCAGTACTTGCACTTGTGTGTGTGAGTGGTTAAACACGCAGCACCCACTGCCGGTCCAGGCTCTGCTTCAAGCAGATACTCGGGGCGGCCCAGCGCAGGACAGACAACGCCCTCTCCGCCGGACTCCATTCCCCGCTGTTCGGTTCCCGACACCCGCAATCGTGGATGGTCGAGATGCTGAACCGCGACTGGGAGGCCTACCCGGTGGCCGTCCCCGTTCCCTGGCAGGGCCACATGTACTACGCGGTGTCGTCGCACAACGCGTCGGACTTGTACTTCTGCATCACGAAGGGCCCCGACGGACGTGCAACAGCAGAACCAGTAAGATTTTTGTTGGTAAACCTTGTAGTATAACTGAAATACTTACCAAGTCGACAAATTTTCGGACATCGCTGGTTCAGGTGACACGATCGACTTTCAGTGCATCGGACTGTTTCTCAAGAAACTCGAACTTGGACCGGGCTCGTGGAACTAGCCGCAGTTCGTTCAAGCACGACGTACCCGCCGGCCAGTCTCCATTTGGAGTTCTGGAGCAGTTCGCTCTCGCCGGCCAGTCTCGAAAGTGACACGTTTTCTGCACTCGGAGTTCAGATCAGTTCGCTCTCGCCGTTCAAAAGAGTTGTCCTGGCACACTTTACATTTGCCGGATGTTAGTTCCTATCGCACTGTTTGCTGACTTAAACTTTTGCGCTTCAGGTTGCTGACATGGACTGGCACCTCTTTGGCGGGGTCCTCGGAGTTCTGGTGCTGCACAGTTTGTGACGATTTGCATCGGCACAGTTGCTGTGTTCTTTCCTGTCACACTCGGAAGCGACAAGTGCTTGAACCACCCGCAGTCACCAGTCACTCGTACTAGGTTTGTCATGTGCTTCATGCATTGCAATTGAGGTCGGTCACTCCTCGTTCGGTTCGCAGGGCACGGCCACACGGCAGGACGAGGACTAAGTCAGGGGTCATGCTTTCGGATTGTGACAAGGCATTCCGCGGACTCTGAGGTAAGTTAGGATCCACCTGCAGCAGACATGGAGCAATTGCCGTAGACATAAAGAGTTAAAGGCCTTTGAGCAATTGGAGTCCGGTTTGTTGCCTGGGTTGCCATTTCAGCATTTCAAGCATCGAGTGCATAGAATCGAGGGTGAGCGGTAAATTTTAGTGTTGGGCGTTACACATTAGATTTGTTGTTTGTGGCTGTGAATCATTAAGGTTAGTTCTGGCCTATTCATTGCGGGTGGTGTCTCCTTAACTAGATCTACTTACAGTGCATGGTATAAACCGATTTCACTTCTGGAAGTTCACCATACTTGTCCACAGAGGGGCTTCGGGTGTGGCTTGATTCAGGAAAATAATCATGAGGTGTACAACTCAGTACTACGACTACTACCACGACTAGTACAAGTACTACTAGCATTGCTACTGTACTACTACTACTACTACTACTACTACTACTACTACTACTACTACTACTACTACTACTACTACTAATTACTAATTACTACTACTACTACTACTACTACTACTACTACTACTACTACTACTACTACTACTACTACTACTACTACTACTACTAGTACTACTACTACTACTACTACTACTACTACTACTACTACTACTACTACTACTACTACTACTACTACTACTATACTACTACTACTACTACTACTACTACTACTACTACTACTACTACTACTACTACTACTACTACTACTACTACTACTACTACTACTACTAGCTAGCCAGCCAGCTAGCTAGCTAGCTAGCTAGCTAGTACTACTATTACTTCTGCTAGCACTACTACGACTACTACTGCTACTTCTACTACTACTACTACTACTACTACTACTAGCTAACCAGTACTACTGCTACTACTACTACTACTACTATTTCGACTAGTACTACTACTACTACTACTACTACTACTACTACTACGACTAGTACTAGTACTAGTACTACTACTACGACTACTACTACTACTACTACTACTACTACTACTACTACTACTACTACTACTACTAGTACACTACTACTACTACTAGTACTACTACTACTACTACTACTAATACTTCTACTTCAACTAATAGGGACTGCAATTTCGGCCTACTGGTTTTTCCTTTCTTTAATGAGTAGTGGTACTGCTGCTAGTACTACTCTTCGCAATCTGGATTAGTATTGCTACGAGTAATTACTAGACCAGTAGTCAACCAGCTGGAGGAAGGCGCTCTTGCAATCGCTGTTGTCCTGTTCATATGGAGGACACGGACTCCATTGGCCGGCATCGCTGCCGCTGAGCCTTCTCGTTTCAGGCACTGTGCTCTCGTGCGGTCTACGCTTTGTGTCTTGCTTGCCATGTTCGTCCAGTCACAATGCACTGTGAGACCACCCAGCAGCAGGGCTTGATTGATTGTTTGGTTTTCCGAAGCCGTCCTGCCTGTGCGTTGAGACTTCGTGCAGTCTTATCATCCTTCCCCCGTCGTTCTTCCTCGACGGACCTTGCCCAGCATGCCTCGTGATGCCGGCCCCCGCAAGCCCACCCTCAAGCAGCTGGCGAAGCAGAAAGCGAAGGACATCAAGACCCGGGAGCGCAACGAGGCGACGTTCGCATCCGCCGTTCAGCACTCCAAAAGCACCATACTCGACGTGGACATGCGGTTCATTCAAGACACGCTGACCCAGAACCCGACTTGGATTTCTCCACTCGCTGGTCTGATCCGCTCGGGCTCGTTGAATGGTCTTCTGAAGGACGTTGCCAAGAAGGAGGAGACCGGTGGACTGAGATGGAAGGGCAAGTGCACCAAATGGGGCAGTTTGCCGCTTGAGATGGCGAGCTTAATGCTCAAGCATTGCGGTGTGGAGCTCGCGGAGGACGTACAGAAGGACGAACCCGTCGTACGGACCCTCTTCGAGATCCAGTTCTGGGCAGCCAAGTCGGCGTCCTTGCCATCTCGTGCGGACATTCGCTATCAGTCCACGTTGGTCAAGTTAGCGAGGGCCCGCATGGAGGACGTTGGTCGCAACTACATAGCTGCGGTGAACTCGGCGGAGGCTATCAGTGTTGACCGGGACAGGTACAACATCTGGTCACTTGAGAACAACACGTTGTACTGCCACGTCTTTGCCACACAAGATGGACACCCTCGCCGTTCCCGCTCGGAGTTCGTACCCAACGAGTCGTACCTCAGCCACGAGCTTCCTACTCTCCCGGACAACAAGACGTGGCAATTGGACGACCCTTTTGCGGTGGACTGTGTCATTTCAGATGGACAGCATAACTCGTTGTTCAGTTTTGAATGCGCGAGTTTCTTTCCTACTTTGCCGGACATGAAGGCCAAGTGGACCTTCGACTTGTCGTCGGACGCAGACACCACGGCTGGCCTCGGCGACAATGTGCCGCAGGGCACCCCGTCGGTCCGGAGTGCATAATGCACTCTCTCCTGGTAGTTCAGTGTGTCTTGAGTTTGGGGTTGACTTTACTCGTTGTTCTGTCCAGTTTGTTCACTCGAAAAGCACAATGTCGTTCGCCTCGCCGTTCGACCCATTGTGTCTGAGTGAGTGGACAGGCACGAGTTTCACTGGGGCCGTGAAGCCGGCAACTTGCAAGCTGCATAAAAGAATACGTGCGATGAATGGCTGACTGCAATAATGACTTCCTTGCGGTGCCTTGCAGTATGTGCTACATACATGTTGCAGAAGAACACAGACCCATGACACGTGGTGTGAGCACTGCCTTGCGACATCAGCGATTCGTTGCCGCTGTCTTTGGGCTTCCAGAATAAAAGCTGCATGCCTGCAGAGCCTCCCTTTCTCTTGGTTTGGCAGATGTCACATATACTTCCTGGGACATAGCCTATAAAGTTTTGCTACATTCGTTCACCAGAAACAGACTGTAGAATTGATCCACTCGCTATCAGATGCTGGAGCCCGCTTCTGCCGATGGACCCTCTTCTTCAGGACCTCCAGCTTTTTTCAGCTCTGCGTCGGACAAGCGTCGGACAGTTGCATTTTGCATTCCCTGCGGGACACACGGAAGCCTCAAGGGCGAGAGCTACAAGTTCAAAGAGCCGCAGACCAAGGTAACGGATGGACATCGTTTTTGGCACATGCGTTGGTTTGTGGACTTCCTCGGAGGACACGAGTCTCGAAATTTCCTCGCAGGCAGTGTGTCGACGTTCAGGAACAAGCTCTTCACGATTGCATGGCCCTGCTGGACAGACACGGAGGACGCTCTGAAAAAAGAGATCGAGTCGCACTTTCTCCAGAGTTCGTTCTCCCTCCTCAAGCAGCAGGAGCACGCTGCAAACGCCGAGAAGAAGGGCACCAAACGAAAGGCATCCTCGCAGCAGATGCAGGACGACATGGAGGACGACAACGAGCAAGCGGACAATGAGGAGCACACGGGTGACCAGATGGAAGAGGTAGCAGCTGGACGAAGCACACGTTGTACAGAGTTTGCCACGTCGAGCTTTGCAACGATTGTTCTTTTGCATCAATGGCACCAGGGTATGCGCAAAGATGCCAAATGGAAGAAGCCGGCAGAGGAGGTATCCAAGCTGGCCGGGGAGTTGCTTCAAGGCCTCGCTTCCTTGTTCCTGCAGACCCCGCAGGACTTCTCATTCACGTGGGACGGAAACACTCTGGTGCTGCCGTTCAAAGGAGGTTCGCTGGACGTGGACGAGGTTGTACTGCAAAACAGTTTACTTGCTAAAGTACTACACCGCGATCGTTCCCGATTCATGGACGTGCTGCAGGATGTGAATGTGGACTGCACCCGTCGGACAATTGGAGACACTCGCAAGTCATCTAGTTTGAGGACGAAGTACTACTTGTTGGCGGCTTTGGCACGTGCCATGGATTCGTCGGACGACACGCATTCCTGCTGGACATCTTTGAATGTGAAGCAAGTGATGCAGCTTAGGAGAGAGGTTTCGATTCGAGGGTTTGGAGGGTTTGAAGGGTTTGGAGGGTTCCGGGGTTTTAAGATGTAGGGTTGTGTCTTGAAAGCCCGAAAATTGATATTCCCCCTGTTGTTTCAGGAGCACCTCCGGATATCGTCGGTCGTCCACGAGTTTTCGACAAGAGGTTGCGAGTTCATCGAATGCCACACGCAGGACACTTACCTCCACATTGCAAGGACATGCGTTCACCGTGCAGGACAGCAGCGAACAGCAGGACGAACAAAAGATCAAGAAGCACGCTTCTATGGACGCACACAGGCTAGCACGCATGGAGCGATACGCCTATGTCACGCAGGGCAAGTCAGATTTCCTCTCGACGGACATTTTGTGCGTGGTGGCAGATGCAGTGCACGTGGGAAGTGACGATTGGCTGAACATCATGGTGTACAACCACACGACGGACAAAGTTTGGGTCTGCCCGCCGCAGGCGCTTTTTTTTTGTTAAGCAACACATATTTCTGAGGCGTTTTAGGCAAGAGGCGAGGTACGTCAGAGCCTTGCTTAAGTTGACCTTTTTGGGTGCCGTTTTCGTAGCTTCTGGGTCCGACCAAAATCGTTTTTCCGAGGGGAGGTACACGTATCCCCGCTCAGGCTCGGTTTGGGGCGGAGTCTTTCTATTGTATTTTATATAAAGATAGGTACACGTATCCCCGCTGACCCCTGGGTTTCGGGATTGGCCTGATAAAGGCTCCCGGCCGCCCTTCTACTGATGAGTAGGTACGCACAGCCTTGCTTAAGTTGACCGGGTCCCGGGTGGAGGCCGAGGAACGCATTTCGGCCACATTTTGGCTGCATTTCGGCCCCCAAAAAGGTACGCCAGATCCCCGCTTAAGTTGACCGGCCGGTCCCCCAAAAAAGGGCCCCTGGGTGATTATATGGTAACAACCTCTGTCGTTTGTTTTGCATGCTGTTGCTGACAAGCTCTTCCTCTAAGCTTTGCTTCACATTTTTCTCTGTGTAGTCAGACCACGCAGCAGGTCCAGAAATCGTCCGTCTTGTCGGCTGAGCAGTGGAAAGCTATGTGGAACAAGGCTTCCAAGAAGTTCCTCGGGATCGAGAAACCCGTTGGACCTGGTCATGCGGAGGACCGGCTGGCCACACTGTCTTGGATGCAGGACATAAACCACGGCTTGCGACCCATTGGCTGGACTTTTGGCTGCTGCCAGAGCACGCCGGCCGGCCCCGCGGAGGACGACACGAAGGCTAAACGTGCACCGATCATGATTTTGTGCACCGACCAAGAAGCAACACAGCTGGCGGCTGTCTCCTTCTTGAGGAACAAAAAGAGCCTCTGGATCGAACACGTCTCGGACCCCGCCCACAGGTCGCACAACGACGTGGCTTTGGCCTTGTCGGCCGCTGGACTCCTGAAGTTCTGCACGTGCATCTCGCTGTACAACATCAGGTATGGACCCTGGCAGAAGGGCTCGTGGGCGTTGAAGATCCAGCAAGCCGCAAATCGCATGAAGGACAACATGGACCCCTCGGACCCGATATTGCTCCTTTTCTTCCCGGACATTCTGCTGGACGCCGGCCTCTCCCCCCTGGACGACAACACGGAGGAGAAACGCAGGTCGTTTTTGCAGACATTACCCGACATGGACTGCATCCGCATCAAGGGCACGAAGGCCAGCAAGAGTCGGTTCAATTCCCTGACGACGGCCCACAGCGCGCTGGACAAAGAGTGGTCGGTCTTGGCTTTAGTTCTCACGGTGGTCTGCTTGGAGCACAACTGGGCAGTTTCCACTAAGGACCTCTTCTCGCAGGACAGCAACCAGGCCCGTGCCTCGGTTCCATATGGTGGAAGCAAGTCTTCTGCCATACAGGAGGCCAAGCAAGGCATGGACCAGGAGCGGAAGGGCAGCGCGAACAGTCTACACTTAATGACGAAGTTCGTGATCTCGCAGGACAACAAGACGACAGCCAGGATGATGTTCCAGGTCTTGCAACCCGAAGAGCTTCGTTGTTCGCTCATGCTCAAGCAGCTGCGTTCCAAAGGCATGACGAAGGACTACTACTCTGGCTGGGCACACTGGTCTTGGATGAGCACTGCAAAGGACCACGTCAGGACTTTGTCGAATTTGGAAGGTTTATCTCGTGTCGGCCTCGACCTGACACTGGCACGCGCACAACCCCCGGAGGAGACAGAGCTTGTCTGGCAGGACTCGCTCGCAGGCCAAATGACGCAGTTGACACTACAGATCCTGCGGCTGCGGGCCGGGGCACAGCTGTACCATACTGGAGGTTTCGGTGCGACCGCAGGACTAGTCCATGCTGAAGAGCAGTTCCGTCGGGCAAGCTTGGATTTTTTCAAAGAGATGCAGTCTTGTATCCAGGACACGCACAGTGGTGGTTCTCGTATGGCAAAAAAATTGCTCGAAGGTCATTTCTCCCAAGGGCCGATTAGTCGGTACATCCTCGCCGATCTTTGCACTACCCGGTTTCAGAGCCTTACGGAGGACGTTGCACACGTATTGACCAGCATTTGGTCGGGCCTCTTGAACACGAAGATCATCGAAGACTGTAATAAAGTCCAGCGCGAGGCCGAGCAACGACATTCGTCTTCGAAGGACTTGGGTCGTTTGGACGGATGGAAGGCTGTGACCCAACAGGCCGTGGTCAAGATGTACGAGAGGGTGGAGGCACTGTCAACGGAGCTCTACCACACGCCGGCAGCGTTTGACGTGGCCAAACTTTTCTGCAAAGACACCGAGAAGAAGAAGATTCAAGCAGTTCGTCGTCGTTCCGATTCGTCGGTCAGCACGCAGGTCAGTGCCTCGGAGGTGCAGGAAGCACAGCTTCTTGCAGACGTGACGAAGACGAGGGACTGGGTCTCCCACAACCACGCCGAGGAACAGGAGGTTTTGGCTGCCTTCAGTTTACTGATGAAGGCGTGGAGGGCCAAGCGATGGTCGCTTTGTGAAGAAGGTTGGTGCTCTGGACTTTTGCCCGAAGGACATGTTGTACTGGCAGGTGCAGACCCGTTGTTCATCGTTCGGACATACCGTTTGGCTGCACTCGCATGGCCCGGCAAGATCGTTAAGGACAAGGACCATGAGTTTTTCGAATTCAACATGGGCGTTCGGTCTCTCTTTTGGATGCACAGCACATCTTTGGACTTGGAAGTGTTGCGGCTGCGAGTTGTTTCACCTCTGCGTGCCTCGGCTGCAGTACAGTTGAACATTGTCAGCCCGACACGGACATTCTCTACATATATATTCGTCCTATAATGAGTGACGATGATTGATTGACACGGAAGGCTTCTCCGGTTCAGATTGTAAGTTTCGGCCCGGGGGGGGGGTAGCACTGAAGCTATTTTTTATGGGTTTCTGAACAACTCAGGCGATTCGACAGTCAAGGATTCGAAGTTTCACAGAGTTAGGTTGAGTAGCCCAGGATGGCACGTGCGTCGAGGTTTTGGGTATTGACGAAAGGAGGGTGTGGTTGTGTGTACTGCTACCACTTTTTTGGCCATACTACTAGTGCTAGTACTAGTGCTAGCAGTAGTATTAGTAGTAGTAGTAGTAGTAGTAGTAGTAGTAGTACTAGTAGTACTAGTACTAGTAGTAGTAATACTACTACTACTAGGACTGTTGCTGAGATTCCTTCTACTACTGTAAACTACTGCGATTGCTTGTAGTAGTAGTACTACTACTACAAGTACTACTAGTAGTAGTAGTAGTAGTACTACTACTACTACTACTACTACTACTACTAGTACCAGTACTACTACTCCTACTACTAGTATTACTACAACTTCTTCTACTACTACTACAACTACTACTGCTACTACTGCAACTACTAGTAGTAGTAGTACTACTACTAGTAGTAGTACTACTACTACTACTAGTACTACTAGTACTATCACTACTACTACTACTACTACTGCTACTACTACTACTACTACTACTACTACTACTACTACTACTACTACTACTACTACTACTACTACTACTACTACTACTACCCTTTTCGAGTCTTTTTACCAGTCTTCCTAGTGATATCACCGCTTTTTACTGACCAGGCGCAAAACTTAACGATTGCGATCATTTTTTACTAAGAGTGTTGCTGCCGCTACTGCTACTGCTGAGGTCGTTCCACGCAGGGCAGCCACCTCAACAACGGCATCGTGTTTTTGGTGGACAAGAAGATGGGCACGTTGGACTTTCACGCCGAGCAGGGCTTCGCTGCCTGTTCTGAGGCTTTGTTGCGCAGGTTGTGCCAGCACATGGGTTGGACCGCCACCCAACCCAAATCAGGTGTGGACGCAGGACATCAGCTGGCTGTTGCCGCCATGCTCAACATGGACAACTCGTTGGTCGAAGAGGACGTGGTTCAACGAATCCTGGCAAGGCATCAGACTGACAAGTGGATGCCGGAGGTCGACGACAAGGACTTGGAAGCCGTCGTTCGGGACACGCTGCTCATTGGCGAGCAGGACAAGGCCCTCAAGGAGCTCAGTGCCCGTCGGTCCACGGTTTCGGCCAAAAGTCTACGACCCAAGGTATGCACGATGTACAAGAACGCCGTCTCGGACCTGGACAAGGACTTTTGGAAGGCCGGACAGGACACACGCCGACGCAAGACTCAGAAGGCCGAGAAGGACAGCAAAAAGCTAAAGCAGCAGTACGACCGGGTGTACGCAAAGCTGAATGCCACGACGGACGAGCTTGTGAAGAGCATGGTTCCTGATACTGTACAGGTTTGGACGGACCCAAAGAATGGTCGTTGGAAGGTGTCGTACAAGACAGCTGTAGTCAGCATTACACGTAGTATTTCATGGACACAAGTAGGTGAAGCTGCCGCCGGTCGAGCCTGTGTAACACAAGGTTGGTCATGGGTGGAGCACCACGAAGGACGTGACCCACCCGAAAACTTGCAGGAGCGATTGACAAGGTTCGACTCCTGAGTTCACTCGGACTTGACATGCCCGTGATTGGACTTTTTCTCCTCGTAGCACATCGTCGTTCAGCATCGATGCACACATTCGTCGGGCCCAAAAGAGGATTATTCCGCTTTGCACGCGTGTTTGATCCGTGCAATTGATGCTTCTAGTCAGACTTCTGTAATGCACTGCTACGTGTGTGAGACAGTGGCGGTGATGTGGGGTCAAGTTCAGGAGCATGTCGTCCATGCATTGAGCACGTATTTTAAGTAGGCCAGACATGTACTGATATGGCGAGCCAACGCGCCCTCACTCACCTTCTGTGTAACTTTCCCCACGGACACACAAGATAATGAGTAGTCATGTAGCGCAACTGGAAATTGTACCAGAAATGTTTGTACTTGAAACCTAGGTTGTTATTCTCGGTGGGAGTCCATGAGAATTCAGTTTTGTTGAAATAAATGGAACGGAAAGAGTCTCTGTACATGTCTCGACTCGTGGTTCCATCCTCGAAGTATTACTCGTGCCATGGTGGCCCGGCCGAAGTTACAGGAGGTGGGACTGTCACGACGACCCTCGGCATACGCGCTGTTCATGCAGGACATGTGCAAGGACTCTGTGGACCCCAAATCTCGTCGTCGACTGTCCCGGAAAACATCACTTCGCGGTTCAAAACATTATCTGCGCAAGTGGCTTCTTGGCTGCAAAATCAATATAGATACTGACACATGTGCCCCTTGCCTAGAACCCCAAGTCATCTGAAGCCACGGGAAGTAAAATCTTGGCAATTCTGGTCAGGAACCCGAATATGCCATCTTAGCTACGTACCAAAGTTATTTACTTCAGACATAATTAATAAGATGTAGCTAAAAGTCCTAATACAAGTCATGTTACTTTTTACTCGGGGATTACCTTTTCACCCAATCGTCCAGTAAAATTCCTCTGTTCCCCGAGGCACAACCGAAAGGACCTCCGTGACGAGTACACACGCAAGGCCAGGCAGGGCTACCAGGAGAATCGGGTCCAACGCGAAGAATTTCGACAGGCCAAACACACGGAAGTTCCCCCCGCTTCGTTCATGGACAGAGAACTGCCGGACGTCGCAGAGTCGCAGGACTTCGACGGTCGTGGCATTTTTCGCTACACGGCCGAGGACCCACTGGTGCAGGAGAAACATATGGGTCGCGGCACGTACGGGGAGATTTTCGCTTGCACGTACCAGGGCCTGAAGTTAGCCTTGAAAGTGGCCGTTCGCACGCCGGACAGGGAGACTGCACTGTTGGACGTGCACCAAGACGGTCTCGAAAAGACGTGGGACTTGACCCGTGAGTTCACTCTTTTGAGCCAGATAGGACCTCATCCGAATGTTCTGCGACTCTATGCCTTGCTGACATCCTCGACTGGGCACACGGGAATTCTAATGGAGCGGGCTTCCTGCGACCTCTTGAAGGCCACACGGGACTTGAAGACGGACGACCTTCAGGACGGAGTTCCCTGGAGCACACGACGAGCCCAAGTAACGACGTACTTTCGGCAGACACTCGCAGCTCTTACATTTGTGCACAGCAAAAACATCGTACATTTGGACGTGAAAACGAACAACTTCCTCGTGTTTCTCCTCGGCGAGCGGGTGGTGCTGTCCGACTTTGGTTTTTGCCGAGCTTTGCCACTCAATGGAAAAGCAAAAGTCAGAGCTGACGAAGTCTACACGACGTACTACCGGCCGATCGAGTGCCTTTACTCCGGGGACGGCAAGGCCTGGACCATGAATCCTAGTCGAAGAAAGTTGAAAGTAGTAAGCCCGGTGCGTATGTTCATTCTAGTAACACTTTATGATTTTGCGGATCTGAACTGCAGGACCAGATCAACCTCAGGCATTCCCGGATCCAACTGATGTCATTACTACTAGCAAACTAGCAATGGCCATTGTAATTGAAAACTTGACACAAAGATCTGATTCTTGATTCATAGAAGAGTCATGTCAGCACATGCAGTCGTAGACTCAGCTTCTTAGTCAAAGACATAGCCTGAAAAACTTCATATCTTGCTAGTAACAGCCATGTCTTTAAGAATTGACTTGTTTTTTGGCAGGAAGTATGACTATGTGTTTCATTTTGTTGTCGTTTCCCTTAACTGCTCAGCAGCTTCACTTTGATGAAAGAGGTGGAGATCGGCCCGAAGGCGGACATGTGGGCACTCGGTGTGGTGACGTGGGATTGCTACGCGAAGACGACACGCTCGCTGTTCACTCCCGACCCGAAGGGCTTCGTCAAGCACACGCCGACCATCTCACAAGCGCTCGTTCGTTTCCAGACTGCATGGCGCGAGAGAGCACGCGACCTGCACTTGCTGGACGACGACATCGCTGCACACGTTTTCGGTTCATGCTTCACATTGGAGCAGGACAGGCGCAGCTCACTCGATTTGTTGAAGGATTTGCAGGGCCGTTTCACGAGGACAATTCAGTCGCTGGACGAAGAAGAGGAGCCGTAGCAAGTCCCCGGTGTACGTAATGCTATAACTTTCCAACGTGTCTTTCGCAAAGTATGATTTTATGTCAGACAAGAGATGACGAATGTTGTCGCCGGTGGACTCGCCCGTGCAAGTTTTGCATGACACACGTTGTTCGATGACCCGATGTTTCGAATCATTGAATCAGTTCATTGAATCTCGTAAGAGAATTAACTTAAGAAGATTGCAGAAAACCAGAATAATGTATTAGACTTTGTGGTTGGGTTCTTTTTGTTCAGTTCCCCGCTGTCACACGATTGACGACCGACTTGTGCATGTCAAGGACGGCCCTTCGGCAAGGATAAAAAGGGCCGCTCATTCTGCCATTTGGAATCTGTAGGTTCTACAGAACATGTACATGCAGAGGCGTGTCTGAAGTCCTAAGGATAATACACCGCTGTTCCCCCACACTCCTTGGCTAGATGCTTTCCATTTCCATGTTGCAGGCCCTGGGGCAGAGGCCACACCCTTCTCACTCTGGCAGCGACACACGGAGCACTTCAAGGACGGTTTCGGCCGCACAGTTCAGTGCAGTCTTGGATGGAATGTTCAGATGTCCTATGTTTTGAAATGCTGCTTACACTATGATGTTAGTTCGTTCTTGTTGAATGTGGTTTTAGTTTTCGGTTGGACTAGTCGCAGAGAGGCTCCCAATGGATTTCTTTTACTGTCGATTTGGAAAGCTTTGTTTTTCAATGTTTCTTGCTGCTGCTGGAAGAATGGGGTCAACCTTTCCGACCTGGTTTCATGATGGTCTCCAGAGAGCCAAGTCAGTCTTCTGGCTCCAGAACATCATCTGAACAGTGCAATGCAGGGGCAGCTATACTGATAAAA